TGCAAGCTGCTCCCAAGGACACCGCACAGGCAACACAACAAAAGCACGTGGAGAATCTGGTTGTGTCTTTTTTTAAAATGAAAAGTCAAAAGCTCCTTAACCCCTAGCATTCAGTGAAGGTTTATCTTTTCTTTTTTTTTTTCCCCCACACTGACAGTCACTTAGCAGACAGCTTAGAGGAAAGTGATTTTAACCCGTAATTTCAACAGAACTGTGAATTAACTTTTTCTAACTTGAATATCTCGTAACAATCAGGACTAAATGATCTTAGCATGTAAAACCACATGGGATGAATTCTGCCTCCAGTTTCAGCTGGTGTACATCTCTTGTTGCTCCATGTTTAGCAAAGCCTTAAGTTCAGTCAGCCAAAAAGAAGATGTTTTGAGGAATGTCTCCAGTGTGCTTACAGGGTTACTGACAGGCTTTCCAGATTACTTGCTGTCTGGTTTTGTGTCTTGTTTTTCTGGGAACTGAGTGACTGAGAAAGGAAGAGCTTGCCTTGAGCTCATTGTTGATGAAAGACAAAAATAAAGCTACAAGCTTTTAGCACAAGCTTTCTCCTAAGCAGTGCTGTGTCTCAGTCTCCACCAGATGGTCCTGTGCCCGCATCAGCCATTCCGGCCACCTTCCAGAGTGCCGTTATTTATTGAACTTTTTGTTCATACTCTTGACCTGGCTAGGATTTCTGTGAAGACATGGCTCCCACTGCTCCTCAGTAAGTAACATCCCACCCTTAAATAATCAGGGGTCTCAGTACCTCCGATCTTCCCTAATTTTTCCTCCTCCTAATTGTCCCATCCGTTTGTATGGGGAGAAACTGAGGCACAGGTAATGCCACAAACTTGACCCTGCATGATGCTGAGCATTTCTAACTCCAGGATAAGCACAAAATCCTGGTTACCCACTCACAGTCCTTTCACGAGTAATGGGCTGGGAGATGGTCTGTGATCTCCTCAGGTCCAGACCTGCCTTAGCCCACAGCCCTGCAGCTTTCTTCCAAAGGGAAAATCAAAACAACTGAGACCTCATACAGTCGGTCTGTATGTGCCCTCTGTTTCCAACCATTAAATGATCATCAAAAATTTTAAAGCCTTACTAATTTCAACAAAACTTGACACAATTAAAAGTTTCAGGAATAATTTTTCTCCTAGAGCTCAGCAAGAAGTCAGCACTGCTGCCAACTTGGTCAACTTGGTCAACTTGCCACTTCTGCTTGGTCCCTAAGCAGAAAGAGGCTTTAAATTTTGGCTGAGCGACATCTGTGACAGTGGTCTGGCAATTTCCATCGACATGAGGGAAGAAAGTTACAGCATGTTAAAGCCACTACTAAAGTTACAGTGAAGCAGTGGCATCACAGCTTGCTGCAGGTCTGCCTCACAAAAGCAGTGAGAGACCAGCCTGGCTCTCCCTCTGGGCACACAGGGGCTCTCAGCACGCCAAACTCAAGCGCTGTTGCAGATCCATCTGGTCTAAACCTACCGTGGATGTTCTCAGAAGACAAGGTGCTATTAACTTTTTAAACCCTAAAATAGCATCTTACTCAAGATCGGCAGCTGTGTACACCCCCTCCAATGCAAATGCAAATAGCTTTCATGTTTGAAAGCAGCATTGGAAATCCCCACCACACAAGAGTAAATCCCGGGTGAATCCAGGCCTGGGACCATGGCTCATTTCAGGGCTGAGCGGCACAAAAGGCACGCTGCTGTGCTGCAGGCTCCTGCGTGTGCTCTCCCTGCAGGGGCACAACACTGCCCGCGGGTTCAGCCGTGTTGCTTCAGCCCAATCTCCTTCGCTGCAAGAACTGGACAAAAGTTACTGAGCACAGAGCACAGCTGTGTACATTAATGTAGAAAAGCTAAAAACCAAAAAGAAAAAAGGAAATCCAGCATGAAAGAGCCAGAACAAGCGCTGAAGCAGCTAGAGGGAGGCACTCACCTGTTTGCACCAAAGCTGCTCCTCAAGTAGAAGCAGGGCAGCTGCTGGGGGCTTGTGCCTTTTATACCAGAGGGAAGTGGGCTTGAAGCGGGGCGGGGGAGTCAAGAGGTGGGCCAGGAGTACGTCAGCACTACTAGCGAGCAAAATTTAAATTTACAAAGGGAGGGGAAGAGAACTGTGGCTCTATTAGAAAGCCATGATCAGGGCAGGGAGCAGGAGCTGAGGGTGACGCCAGGGGATTGCAGGGGGGGGCTGGCAGGACACCTGGCTGAGGCCCCCCTGGCCCACCAGGAGGAGGACGGAGGGGAGGGGGCCGCTGCCACATCCCTATGGATGGGAGGACACGGGCAGACCGGAGCAGCACCGGCTGCCATGCTTTCTCCACAAGAGACAAGCTCTCTGTGCTGCCTGGCTGAGATGCTCTGTCTGAAGCACATGCCTGTGGGGGGAAAACACTCATGGCTGGCGATGAGGTGTGGGGAGAAAGAGGAGATGGACGGTGGGAAGTTCTCAGGGCCAGCAAGCTGGAGCAGCCAGGCCACACGCCCCTTCCCAGCCCTTGCTCCTCTTGCTGTTGTCCTGCCTCTGCTTTTTGCTTGGGATCTTACCTGACTGCAGCTCTCGTCCCATTAAGCCCCTAACCCAGTGCTGGGTTCAACTCACCCACATGTAAGTTTTAGGCCATACTGCAACACAGCACCCAAGTAGCTGATGAATCAGTTGTGATTCAGTGCTTAAGCAGGTGCTTACCAGTTTTGTGGCAGAGGAAGTTTCATCTGCATGAGGCTAGTATCTCGAGCAATACTGTATTTCTACAATAGGCATCTCTTCTGTGCGGCTATTTTTAACACTATCTCCTGATTAATGTGTCATTGCAGTCTTGCTGCTACAGATCTCACTGCTTTAATACCTAAGACCGTGTTTACCGTGAAGGTTTTGTAGAGGAGCAGCAGTGGAACTGGCAGGTGTTTCGCTCCTTCAGCACCGTCCTGCAGAGAGGCTGAGATGTGAAGCGTTACTGGGCTGCCTGGGGACCACAGGCTCTCTTACAAAGATCCTTGCAGACGCAGGGTTGTGCTCCGCTCCTGGTGAGAATGACTACCTGAAGAAACAATTTTTAAAGCTATGCTTAGAAGAGGGGGCTCTGAGGCATGACCTGGTCTCTAAGCTGAGACTGGATAGGAAATGCTGCAATCTCATTAGGATGAAGTTGGAAGTTCAATAGCAAATCTGTTGTTTAGTTTTTCTATAAAGATGCTTCCATCTGATGGATGGATGGAAAAACCTCAAAGTATAAATGACATTATTGCACTGCAGCCACCTCCCAAAAGAAATGAAACTTTATTTTCCTAGAGGCAATTTGTGGGGTACTTGTACAAGGAAGCATGCTTGAAATTTTGCCTGGCCCTGCCCTTACTCAGATTCCAGGCATTGAGTAGATGACCCCACCACCACCACTGGGGGTATGGTCACTAATTGTGGGAATTAAAATAAATTTCTCATTTATGTGTAATAGTTTGCTCTATGGGCATGTGTATGAACACAAATGGTAAAGAAGCCTGAGAAATACTCTTCCGTTCTCCAATTTCCACCTAGTAACAGCTAAAAGAAGGATCTTCCTCATCCAAGTTTTCAAGAGTTTACTCAGACTACTCAGGATTACAATTGCAAAATATGAAGAGCACTTCAAGTCCATGATAGCACAAAAGGTCTTTCTACAGCTAACACAATCAATAATGTATATACACGCTTTCTTCAGCAACCTCCTTTTAGCGTGTTCCCTTTGAACCTTGCAGACGCTCCCTACCTAAAAATCAATCTGCATCCAAGAACCAGGCGGTGGCTGTGCTTCCGCTGTGCTAATTTTGCGTGCATGTGTGGAGAGGGTATCTTCTTAGTAAGTAACATGGTTTTGCATCGTAGATCTTTTCCCTTACTGCTCTTCACATTGATTTTGACGAGAAAATGTGGGTATCCTTTCTTGATCTCTAGTGGGCAATTGCTGGAGTGAGGGCTTTTTCTCTCCAGGATATGTAGGACCCTGTCTTGTTTTGCTGTTTTGTTAAGTGATCCTATCATCTCAAAACAGAAGTAAAAGCTGTTTTCATCCCATTTACTCTTTCTAGCCTTGCTGGCACTGCAATGTGAGCCTTTCAACAGC